GTAATGGGGTGGAGGAGTAGCCCGAGGTTGATTGCCCGAGGGCGCCGGCAAGCCCCCAACAGGCCGAGGCCCTCCACCATGGACAACCGGAGCCACATTGGACGCGCCCGGCACAACAGGCCGAAGCCCTCCGCGACCCGCAACCGGCAGAGCAGGAAGTGCAGCGCCCGGCGCTGGGGGCCTCAAGCCGCCCCGACCAGGAACCGACTGGACGGGCACTTGCCCCGGAGGCCTCGCGCCCACGGGGCCAGCACCTCGCCCCGGGTTGCCCTGAGTAGCGCCCTCGCCCGCCGGCGGCCTCTGGGCAGACGACGTCGGGACTCCTCGTCCAGCGTCCACCGTCGGTGGCGGAGCTGTCCCGCCCCGTCCCACAGGACCGGAAGCGGCCTTCTTGGCTGGCGGCGGCGCCACCCCGCGGCCGGCCATGTCAGGCAGCAGGCAGATCCTCCTAGCCCGACATAGACTAGAGGCAGGAAAACCTCTCGTGCCGTGCCTACGAACCCTAGGGCGAAGAGGCGGCTGCGCATGATCGAGAGAACAATCACGCTCGTACGTGCATGGCAACGCAATAGGTGGAGGAGAGTGGCCCGGTCCGGCATGGGCCTCATACCCATCTTTCTCTGGCCCAACATCTCACGGACCCGGTCCACACCGAACCGGCCCAAATCCACCTAGCAGCTGAGTCAATCGCTGTGATCTCGTGAGCGAGATCGTGGTCATCGCCGCTGCCATCACGGGCGCCGCCGTTGCCGGACTACCTGCGCGCTGCCTCGTGTTCTTCTTGTTCTTAACAGTGATCCAAGACTCTGGCCTGATCATATCGAATAACGTGAGATTCGGAAGACTCACCTTAGGTATGGGTCCCTTCCATGGTCTGAGCGCCGACGCCGCCGTCTTCCGATGAACTATGCGTCGGATCATCTCATTCTTCTCGCCCGCGTGAAGACCGGTACGCGCCGGATTGTCCAGTGGCAGAACTTGATCGATCGTCATGGCCACTTCATCTTCGCAATAACCTGCATGGAATAAATCGCAAATGAGATCTGAAGGTGTTGGTGAGGGCGGCGCCTCCGCCGGGGATGCACCCCCATCGTCGTCCGCGTCTTCTTCGTCAGACTCGGCGAGAGCCCAGAACCGCCCGCCGACGCGCCGGCGATCACCGGCGGCGGACGGCGCCATCGCGGTCGGGTGCACGGACACCTTCAGTCGCCCGCCCAGTTGCATTCGGTCACCGGCGGAAAACACCTCATGTAATGCTGCTTGGGTGACTTAAGAACCCTTATATCGTTCGGTTGTTGTGGCCTTCTCTCTAAATATTTGCACACACACAAAAGACACGAGAAATATGGGCTCCCAACAGGGCCGGCCCTGGGGGTATGGCGGCGGGGCGATGGCCCAGGGCCCAGGCAAGGAGGGGGGCCCATGACAGAGTATATATCTGTATTATAGCCCAGCAAAAAATAGGTAAAAATAATACAAAAGAACTAGAGAAAAGAAATAAGATGGGCTAGACCCATCCGATAGCTAGCAAGCCATCGCTGATCGATTAACGAACGCGAAGTCGCGAAGCGACACCGTGACTCACGCCAGTTGGCAGACATACGACTGCTCGTTTTCCTTTTCCTTCGTAGGTTAGGTTCGTCAGGCGCCGTGACGCCCGTCGGCCTCCTCGCTCCGTCGCTCGGCGCCTTGCCGTGTCATCCTCGCCTCGCCTGCCGCTGGCCCGCTGCCCGCTGGAGCTGCACGCGCGGCACGCCGCACGACAGGCCAGCAACCCAGCGGCCCGGCCATCCGGCATCCGGCAAGGCGGCACCGCGGCAATACGTATACAAGTATACATCCGACTGGCGACTACAAGTCTTGAAGTCTGCAATGCGGCCGTCCCCAATCCCTAAAGTACGTTTGAATGTTTCCATCCATGTTCCTCAGTTCCAGTCCATCCCCCAAACCCTAATTTGACAATTTCAGTACTTTATTTATTCTTTATTTAGTATTTAATTACGTATTCAACTATACATCCATGATCCATCCTCCAATTTCAGTATGCATGAAGTTTTAAATTTTCTAATTCAATCAATCATTTTTTTTGTCATTCTATGTACATGTCTAGGGTTCCAAGCATCCGATGTATAAATTCCTAATTCTTTGTATCCTCTTTTGATCTTTTCTTCATGATTTTAGGACATTAGCCTGCCATGTTACCTAAGAAGAAGCAATTGTCGGGTGCTGAAACAAGAAGGAAAAAGAAAGAAAGTGATCCGAAAATTCTACCATTGAAGGATTCTTTGAATAAGTTCTTTACATCTTCAAGCAATGTTGATGTCATTGAAGAACAGGGGCAAGAAACTACTCCCGAAGAAACCTTTTTTGAAGCACTGAAGTATTATTGTTGTCGATGGAGTCAGTCTAATTTGGTTCTTATTTGAGGTAATTAATCATGTCATGTTAGTTTCATTTTGCGATTTTTTGGTATTATTGTTGTTGATGGAATCAGTTCGAATTTGGTTATTATTGTTCTCGATGAAGTCATTTGAATTATTATAGTCAAATTTTAAACTAAAGATGTGTGACTAAAAGTTACTCTTAATAAGTCATATATATAACACACACGCATACATATATATGGTCTTAGGATTTAGGATATAGGGGCCCATGTTATCGAGTTCGCCTAGGGCCTCCCAAAACATAGGGCCGGCCCTGGCTCCCAAAATTATAATTTGTACCACCTATCAAACTGATGTCGAACAGAATGTACCAATAGTTTGACCAGCAAAACGCCTAGACTCGCCCGTTTGATCACCGTTCCGGTTTTTTAAACTATGCTCCCACGAGCCCTTAGCACTTTCTCCGCCATAACCTAACTTTTCCTAGCCCTAAAGAAATAACTTTTCCTCGACGTACTGCATGAGCACAGGACATCAATAACCGAAAGAAATGGAACAGCTGAACGGTTTACACCTAACCCATCGATAAAGCCTAGAGAGAGAGAGACAGCCGGCAAAAAAAATCCAGAGAGATAATGTGGCTTACGCGTCCCGTCGGCGTCGCTCCTCCAGCGAGTTCCCACGACAGGCGTTGAACGGCTCTTTTCTCGCCGTTACGCTCGCCGTCGCCGTGCCGCGGCTGGGCCTAACGGCAGCCAGCGGAAAAGCGCGGGCGTAACGGCGAGTCGAACGGAGAGATGCGCCCTCCGTCCACAGCGACTCTTCCCTCCCTCCCCTCGGCGGCTACGCGTCCCTCCCCAACCTCCCTATCCCCCACGACTCCACGAGCACACCACAGGGGGCTGCACCAACCTTCCGCGCTGTCTTTTCTCCCAGCCTAGCCGACACGGCGGCGGCGGCGGCGGGAGGAAGGCAAGGATCTCGACCTTTGCTTGAGCGCCAGGTGAGCGTCCCTCCCCCCTCTCCTCTGCTCCCTGCCGCTCTCATGGATCTGGGCCAATCGGACGCGCCGTCACTCTGATTTGGCCGCGCCTGTTTGCTTGCTCCCACGGTTTCCGCTTTCGCCGTAGCAGCAACCCGGTGCTGCTCCCGCGGTCCTGCCGTCTCCCCATCCCCGCTAGGCAACCCCGAGCCGAGCACGCGGGCTGCGCCCGCTGGCGCCGCCGCGGAGCTACCCCTAGCAGCCAGCCAGGTCGGTTCGTTGGAGAAGTACTGGTGGTATTGACTTATCTGATAGTGGTGCTGTTTAGCATTCGACTTGGCGTGGTTCAGGAGCTTGCACGAGCTAGCTATTTTCCCTTTGTCAATTCAGTCATTCACTAAATAGTTAGGTTTTCTTGTGCGTTGTACTAATGTTTAGACGTCCCTGTGTTTCTGGCATGTGAGCATCTTCTGGTTGTCTGTGGTATATCAAGTTTGTATCAGTCTGCTCTTACTCATTCCGACGTTCTAATAGATCCAAGGGCCGAGTTATTTAACCCTGTTACAGCTTTCGGTTGAGTCACATAGATTTAATATGTATGAGTTTTGATAGCAACAGCTGTTTGAAACATGCGTTCTTTAAGATTTCCCCATTGTAAGCGGTACCAAAAGCATGTCAGATGTCACAAGATTAAGATGTTAGGATTCATCATAATGCATTCAACAGTATGAACTCAAAGATGTCACACATAGACACAAGCTATTGGGAGAGTTGTATCCGCACAACTACTTAAAGCATCTCGAATTCTAGATACAGCTATAAATCCGAGCCAATGGGGGTACCTACCTACTGCACTCATAAAACTGCAATATTGTAGAATGATGTGGGTGGTGTTTATAGAAAAGCTTATGCAGAGTAAGTAATGCTTCTATTGATTTTTTTTCTTCATGCTGCTTGAACTCTATCGATAGCCGATTTGTGATGTATCTGCCTAGTGCCTACTGTACTTGCTACATGTGTTTGCTGTTGCTGTTAGCAGCTGAAATTTTATATACTAGCACAAAAATCTTTTCGGAAAGCAATTCGGATTTCATGGAGGTTTGAGATGTTGATTTTTATGTGTTCGCCTTAGATAGACAATGCCAATAATGATGGACCATGGCTGTGCTGTTGGTAATCGACCCCTCTTATTCTTCCCTTCAGGGACATGTTTTCATGTTTATGCCCTTTGGTTTCACTGTATAGCTATAGCCAGTGATTGGTGGATTGTCTGATTGAGAATTTGAGATGCTTATGTACAAGTTGTCAAAAAATAATTCCCAGAATAGCTGAAAGATCGAAACAGGATAAGATGATAAGAGTCTTATACCTTTGTCTATCTTTTTGTCTAAATTTGAGATGCTTATGTACGGATGAGTTTTGCCTAAATTTGCGTAATGATCATCTGCTTTCTTTTGGACCTGTTTCTGTTTGTGCAGAATTTGGTGGCCAATGCCCAGTTCATATAAAGATTACAGTACAGCAACCGATCCTGTGGAACATGGAACTTCAAGTCCGATAGTAAAATAGCTTGCTCTTGTTTCGCGAAGGAGGTTAAGACTGCTTCTACATTCTGAAGACTCCTACTGAACAAAATGGTCCCTAATGGTAATGGAAACCTCAAAGCTGATACTCAACAAGTAGAGTCAAAGACATCAGAAAATGATCCCGGAGTCACAGATGTCAACAGTCTTTCCACTCAAAATGTTTCAAAACAGGGAAATCAACGGAGTGGGTGCCTCAACTTTGTGAATCGCTTTTCTAGTGGTGCCCACTTTAAGAAGCTGGGTCCTTCTCCTTCAGTCAAGTTTCGACAGCTTGCACTTCAGCGTGATGATTTTTCACGTTCAATCCATTCTGACAACCATGACAATCACGAACATTTTCGATTAATCAGGAAAATTAACTGGGGTCATCTGTGGGCAATGGGCAAGGATTGGATAAGGCAGCCCCTTAACATGGCCCTTTTTGTCTGGATTGCTGTTGTTTCTGTATCTGGTGCAATACTCTTCATGGTTATGACCGGGATGCTGAATCATGCTTTGCCTAGCAAATCAGAAAGAGACGCCTGGTTTGAAGTGAACAACCAAATTTTGAATGCATTATTCACACTCATGTGCCTTTACCAACACCCGATGCGGATCTATAACTTTGTGCTCTTGTGTCGATGGGACCAAAAGGACATTTTAAGGCTTAGGAAAGAATACTGCAAAAATGGGACATATAAGCCTAATGAGTGGATGCACATGATGGTGGTTGTGGTCTTTCTTAATCTGAACTGCTTCGCCCAGTATGCCTTGTGTGGTCTCAACATAGGGTACCGCAGATCTGAAAGGCCTCCCCTTGGTGTCGCCGTGACTATTTCTTTTGCATTTGGGGCTGCGTTATTCGCTAGTGTGTATAACATTGTGAGTCCTCTTGGGAAGGATTATGATGCAGAGCTGAGAGAAGGTGATCCAGAAGCACAAGCCGGGGTCACATCAACTGAAGGCGCCAGGCCAGCAACTTCAGGGAGGTCACTTGAGAGAAGATACTCTTTTCTTCAAAGCGACGAGCGCCGTTTCGTGGAGAGCAGGCCTGAGTGGGTCGGCGGGCTATCAGATTTCTGGGACAGCATAACCATTGCATACTTGTCAATTTTCTGCAGCTGCTGTGTTTTCGGGTGGAATGTTCAGAGGCTTGGGTTCGGCAACATGTACGTCCACATTGCAACATTCCTGCTCTTTTGCCTGGCTCCGTTCTTCATCTTCAACCTGGCAGCAGTCAACATCAACAACGAAACCCTGCGAGAGGCGCTGGGGCTCACCGGCATCGCGCTGTGCTTCTTCGGTTTGCTGTACGGCGGCTTCTGGAGAATACAGATGAGGAAGAGATTCAACCTCCCTGGGAACCCCTTCTGCTGCCGTAACCCCGACGTCACGGACTGCTTCCAGTGGCTGTGCTGCTGCTCGTGCTCTCTCGCTCAGGAGGTGAGGACCGCTGATTACTATGACATTGCAGAGGAGAGGTCGTACAGAGGGCAGGTAAATGGGGAGAGTCAGCGTGTGATGTCCCCATTGGCTCGTGAAGACGGTCTGCCGCTTTTCAAGTCAACTCCAGCCTCGCCGTACAGGAGCAGCACAGGCACGGCTAGTCAGTCCATTTTCATCATGGAGAGCCCATCAGCTCCGCGGAGGTCGTCCGGTGCGACCCCTCCCGGTTCTTCTCCGGCAAACGGCGGCGACAGGGCGATGAAGGCGCCTGCTCCATCTGTCTTACACAGAGAAGGTGAAGATGAATCGTAGCATGTGGCGGCCCAACAATTGGCTTGTCATGAGGGGTCACGAATCTTGCTCAGTCCATGGAGGTGGACCTGTATATTTGTTGTAAAGAAAATTTACCACGCCTCTCTTCATCCGTGGCTGAGCTTTTCTTTTTCTTTTCGGGTGCCGATCGCTCTTCCGTGAGATGCATAGAGTATTCAGTTCTGTCCTGTTCTGTTGTGTAATTCTGTAGATTTCTGCAGTGCAAACTCTCTTTTGAGATGGAATGGCGTGGTTGGTCTCCGTGTGTTTATTACTGTATTGGGCTGGAGGCGTCATGGCTAACAGCTGAACGTGACGCTGCTATCGGTATGTTCTAGTATAACCTTGGAAAAGAAGTTGTTTCAGCTCACTGTTTTCTTGCGCAGGAGGCTGTTGTGCTCAACCCTGCCCTCAAAGTACATACTGTATGTGTGGTGATGAGCCCATTTCTTGCTCACCAATAAGGAATCGGACGACCATTTCACGTCCATCGAACTCCTCCATCCGGCGGGACGCACGCCACGTACGTACGTACGTTTGACAGCTTCAGCACCGTCAGTCCATATCATTTCATCATCTGACGCACAGAAGAAAATCGACACATCTCCACGCCCTGCCGGGTCAACGAAAGCCACACTCCAGCATGCATCAGACCAAAGATGGCTAGCATTGCACAAGTGTGATTCACTTCACCCAGACCGGTTCCTTCTCGTTCTCGCCCTTGTCGATCGGTTCAACCGTTTTGACACGGGAGAGAGAGCAGCGTAGCGTCTCCTCCTTTCACAGTCCACCTCCAACGTGCAGTGCAGTGCAGAGCGGCCTGCTCGCTCCTCCTGCTTCCCCGCGGGAGGCAGCTTCCCAGAAAGTTTTTACCCGGTGAGGTGAGGGCCACACTGACCGGCGACCGTCGTGCTGGCACGCACCCAGGCTGGCTGGTTGATTTCTCTCCGACGACTCCTCCTCGTCGTAGAGCTCCATCTCTCGTGAACGAACCGTGCGTTGATTTTCCCTGCAATGTCTCGTCTCGTGAGGCTACACACACATCCACGGACGGAGTTTTTCTTGGACATGAAACATTCAAAGCCTCTCCGGGCACGTCAACCATGCACGTCGATCACGCGTCTATACCTACTTCGCCGTGCATCTTGGAGAGATTTGTCACGCATCACGAGTCTGACGTGGACGGGGTGTGCCGGGTAAAACCGCTGGCTTGTAAACTAAGCCTCAAGTGTGTCTGGGCAAATTCGGCGAGTAAAGTTTGCAAGGTTACTTAGAGCAACTCCAACGGGGCGACTCATTTCGTCCGCTGGCGTCCGTTTGAATCGGCGCGGACACAGAAGTCGGCCTAACGCGCCGATCCAAATGGACGCAAACCCATTCCCGGTCCATTTTTGAGCCGGAGTTGCGTCGGTGCGAACATAAAACAGACGCGCGCGCGGGCCTCCTCCTCCTCCGGGCCCGCTGGTCGGTGGCAGCCTCCACCATTTCCCTCCATCCGCCCCCCTCCCGCCCGCGCGCTCCCGTCCCACCCCTTGCCATGGGCGACGACGTGCTCGACCTCGACGCCGCCACCGGACTCGCCTTCCTCGCCTCGTCCGGCATGACGACCGCCCCCTCCGGCAAAGGCAAGCCTCGCGCCTCCCGCAAGACCGCGGCCGCGCCCAAGCCGAAGAAGGTGCTGACGCACGAACAACGGGTAAGGGAGTCGGCCAAGAGGAAGGGCCGGAGGCACGCCGCAAGCGCGAGGGATGAAGCCATCGCAGCGGCCGCCGTCGCCGCCGCCGCGCAGCAGGAGGTCACCAACGCCCGTGTCGTGGCGGCAACGAGGGAGGCGCTCTATATGCTAGGGTTAAACCCTAGTCAGCACGACCTCGTCAACGCCGTCGTGGCCGCGACCAGCACCGGCTCGTCTGCGTTCCCTCGGATGGTGCTGCCTGACTCGCCCCACGCGTCGACTTGCACCCCGATGCCCGGCTTCCACGTCTACCCGCAGGCGTCCCGCCTCTTCGGGGAGTGCTCGCCCGAGGTGAGCGTGGTGGCGCCTTCCACGCCCGCGCCGGCGCCCATCGACCTCAACGCCACACCAGTGGCCGGTGGCTCGTCATCCGAAGGCGCGAGGAAACGCGCGCGGCAGATGCCGGCCAACGTGCAGCCGGGCGCACACAACCTGTTCGACGGAATGTCGGCCGCCGGCGACGAGGACTACATGCAGAACCTGATCTTCGAGGCTGGTGCGCCGGGTGAGACACAAAGCCAGGATGGCCGAGGGGCGTTCACGCCGTTCCCTGGCTACGATCAAGATCAGGCGGCCTTCATGCGTGATCAGGTCGGTATGGACCTGGACGGCTTCCCACTTGACCACGACTTTCCGGAGGACTACAGGCAAGAGGAAGAGGACGCGTGCGACATCTAAGAGGTGCCTTTGTTCGAGGACGAGCTCGCCAACCAAGCCGTCGGGCCGAAGCCGAAGCGCAAGAGCAAGCGGACCAAGGCATACACGGCGGCCGAGGACAAACTTCTTTGCGAGTGTTGGAGAGACATTGGGCAAGACCCCAAGACGGGCGCCGAACAAAAGCATTCAACTTTTTGGATTCGTGCCCACCGTGAGTTTCACGAGCTCAAGAAGTTTCCGCCTTTACCAAATAGTGAGCACGCGCGGGTGGGTGTCCATTTTGAAGCGATGGAGGGTGATACAACAAGAGTGCAACAAGTTTTCTGCCACTCTTAAGAGCGTCAAGGCCCGCCCCGTGAGCGGCATCGGCATGCAAGACATGGTATGCTAGCAAGCCGCCCTCTTTTGTGTCTTCAAGTTTATGCTTGGTGTTCATTTGCATACCATTTGCCAATATGCTTGCATGAAATGCATTTGTAGGTATTTCAAGCTTTGGAGACATTCAAGGTCCAACACAATGGCAGGAGCTTCAACCTCTCCCATTGCTTTAGGGTCATCAAAGACGAGGAGAAGTTCAAGGCGCAATATGCCGCCCTCAAGTCGCGTGGGGAGAAGCAAGCCGTGGAGGAGGTTGGGGACGGCTAGAAGGCACGGCCGCGGGGGAAGACCAACTCCAAGAAGGAGGACAAGTGGGATGCGGAGGAGGCTTGAGATGGACGCGGAGAAGCAAGCCAAGATGCTTAAGATGGAGGCGGAGAAGCAAGCCAAGATGCTAGAGATTGAGGCCGCCAACACCAAGACCAAGGTGAAAGAAGTGGCTCTCGCGAGCATGATGACCGGGGTGGAGATCATGAAGGTGGATCTCAACACCGTGTCGCCAGGAAGAGGCCGTGGTTCGAAAAGATGCAGGCCGACATGCTCAAGTTCAACGACGAGTGATCTCGGGGCGGCGAGCGCCGTCCTTTTTTGTATGCCGGCAGGTGTGCTGGCATGACCACGGGGCCGCGTTGGCGTGGTCGAACTTAAGTCCCATCCCTTTTTGTGTGTTGGCATGTGTGCCGGCCGTTGGCGAGTGCGCCAGCATGAACTGTGTGGTGATATTTTTTGAAGCTGGCATGGTGCTGGCATGAGACATGGCCGCTGACATGATATATAACCGCGGGCTTTTTTAAAAAATTGAATGCGGACATGAAATTGGTCAGCGCGTTGGACGCACTGCCGATCTAAATCTAAAACAGGACGGCTGTCGGACGGGCAACCGATCCAAACGAACAAAAAACGAACAAACGTGTCGTCCGTTTGGATCGACCCGTTGGAGTTCTCTTACTTCCTAGCTTCAATCCGCAGTAACTGAGCAGTCAGAGAAGGGGTCAAGCCCTCACCATAGCTCCATACATACCTCATTCCATCCAGAATAATTGGCCATTGTGACTTTCCCCTTGAAAACAAAAATTCAGGATATACCGGGAGTGCAGTTTTGTCAATCCGAATCGTGGAACCAGTCATCAACTGATAGTACAAAATTCATATCATCGGCTACACGAGGGGCATAAGTTTAAGCATCCGAATACCGTATTACTCGATAGCTTTGCTAAGTTAGCCAACAATTATTGGCCGAAAATAAATTTATCCGACCATCGCCACGGTTTAGCTAAGGCTTGTCTATTTCTAAATTGCCCGTAGTTTTCTTAAATCGCAATCACCTTTCTAATCTTTGGGATCAATTTCAGTCCATTCTTCTGGATTTCAGTACATGTATAACCTAGAGACTTAATGTTGCAAAGCACAGCTCCTTGTACGGAGAGAACTCGTAATTTGACCTCCAACGGTCAGATCCAGCAACTACATATTTGCGTTGCCCCTTTTGCTAAAGGCATCACCATCATGCTTAGCTCTGACCTCCGCTGCTTAGATTTGGCAACAAGGGTTGATATCCTCCGGGATGAAAATGTCGGAACTAGCTTTCACTTGTTGGATGCACTCTTTCCGGGTGGAAACCCATGATCCAGTCGGATAGGCAGTGTCGACCTCCACCCGTCGTTGCCTAGTTCAAGCCGTTGGTTCGAGGATTGCTTTGGGGTTGATAGCCCTTGTTCTGACATCTAGCTGGACCAGCTAGTATGGGCGTGCGAGCGGTGATTTTTTCTGGAAGGCGTTGTCTTGGAGCGCTGCACCCTTTGTTTGTGACTGTATAGCTTCTAAATTTTGTAGTAGGATTTGGATATGTTGTCGCAAGGCTTGTCCTAGGCAGATGGCCTCGGATTTTCTTCTTTTATTTTTGTTCACGCCGAGTTGATCGGCCTTAGTGCTTAGCTTTGCTTGCCATTGTTTCAATAATTAATAATATATTATCGTGTGCATAATCTGACACAAAGGCTGAGGTATTTCCTCCCTTTTTGAGAAAAAACATTGATATGGATGCACAATCTCCTTCTTAAAGACCGCGCTTAGAAAGATGTGACTTATAGGGTCATAGACAGGGCAATACCATGTATAGTCAGACCTAAGGGTTAGCCTAACTCAATTGTTCTGCTCATTTGTCCCTTTTGTATCACCAAACAAGAATTTTAGGAGAGTTTCTAGCCTAGGTCAGACCTGGTTACACCAA